CCCCAAAACCCCAAAACCCCAAAACCCCATCTGATAAAAGGATTACATTTTTTCTAGAAAATACAAATATTTAGATTTTTCTATTTTATCACAAATACTTAGAAGTGATATTAATAATAAATTACTTTAATGAGTCGTAGAAATAATACTGTTGTTGCTAGACATCAAGGCAATAGAGCTAATGGAGGTGGCGGAATGGGTGGAAGATTCAATGAGTTCGACAATGATTTTGGAGCTGTTTAAATATTCAATAATAATCGTCATGATCCCTTTGAAAATATGAACAATATAATGCAAAATTTCGGCATGCCTTAAATGAAAATGAGTAAGAATATATTTTATCCAATAATTTTATTATAGTGATGCCTTTTGGAAGAGATGATCCCTTTGCTAATGATCCATTTTTTAATGGAGGTGGATTCGGTGGAATTGACAAAATGATGAAGAAAATGTAGAAGGATATGAATAATGCGATGAATAGTCAATCATCAATGATGTCAATGAAGTAAATTTAAGAATTATAATCGATAATTTAGTATTGGGGATGGAGGATAGAGCCATTTCGTGAAATAAACCTATGTGAGTTCAACTAAGCTTGATTAAAATGGCAGACCAATATAGGAAAAATATTAAAATAAAGTGGCTGGGACAATGGGAAACGGTAATAAAGTAGTAGAAAGATAGTAAATGTATGATAACTCAGGTACAGGATTGACTAAAGCAAGTCATGAGCGAATGCTTAATGATAAGGGTAGAAAAGTAGTCAAAGAAAAATTAGGTGATCAGATGAATACTTATGAGCATTATAAGAATATGAGGGATGATGAGGGTTCTCAGTTTGATTAGTAATGGAATCAAATGTCAAATTAACTTGGCTTTAAAAGTGGATCATCTAACAACAGATTGGGGTATGACAATGGTAGAATGAACAATTCAATGCAACAGAGAAATCTAGGCAGTGGAGGAAGTTTAGCGATTGGATATGATGATAATAGAAGGGGAGCTTATGTAAATCCTTAAGATAGAAATTAAAATGCTCCAGTTATTATGGGAAGGGGTAATCCCCAGATTGACATTGCCCCTACCCTTCCTTATGGAAGAATAGCTGGTGTATAATAGAATGTAAGAGGCCCTAATCCAAGTGGAATTCAATAAAACTAGCCTCTTGCTATCACAGATGGATCAAGACCATAATAACAAAGAGTAGCACCCTAAATATAGTAATAAGCTAGAGTATAAAGCAACAATTTCATGGCACCAAAAGCCAAGGGACCAGCTAGAGCCCACTGATTTTATAGACTTATTAATTTTTAAATACAATAAGTGGAAAACTTTTGTTCTTTTTATGAAGGATAGGGGTTTTGGGGTTTTGGGGTTTTGGGGTTTTGGGG